GCTAGCTTTGGCAGGCCAAAGTTTTGTCGTATGTGCAGCAGGACGCACGCCAGCGCGACCTGGACGAAGACGACACTCGCGATTATTCCGGCCGAGTCCGAGGAGATGTTCCAACTGAATTTCTCGTCGATGTGAGCGACTTCGTGCGATACGTACATGTAGTTTGTCCAGAAAGATGCGAGCAGAATACCGATGCTTATGATCCACATGTAAGCTTCCAACAGTTGAGTTATCTCTAGTAGAAACATCAAGAACGCTATGGCACATGCTAGAACCAAATAATAATAATTGAAATTAGTATGCAGTGTTATGTACTATCTGGTACACAGCTAGATTCATTGTACACAGGTTTCTCTCCACATGTCTGCCTTAAAAGCTGGATATAATTTGCAACACCGCATAAACCCGTCGACACACTTTAATTACCTAACGGATGTGACTTAATTTCCAGCAGTGTTTACTTTTGGAAAACTCATCAGATATAGATATACTTTTTGATTCTCAAACTGTGAGTGGATCATACTACTTGAAGCTGGGTTACTGAACTCAAGTTATCTGTGCTAATAGTAACACGGCAAATATGGTTGGGTGGACATCAGGCACATCGCAGAGTCCTGTGTGCACATGGCTCGCTATAACTCTCGGCACTTTTCAATGCTATAATAAGCGAAACAAATAACTCTACTTCTATACGCGCTTTTCACCGGCGATCGTATCATTTACAGTAAGGATGACCAAGTGGCCCTGCAGAGTATCCGTGCTCTAGTTTAATAATGGGCCTCCACTTGGAACATGACCTTCAATATATAGACAAATGCAAAATTCTATGCATTACCCTAAAAATCTAAAAATCTAAATCACCCTTAACCTTTACCCACTCACTTTATCTTAAGTACTCATCTCTTAATCCCCCGTACAAACATTTGGATGAGATTATGTGACCTTTGCTTGAATGCTTACATTGATTTACATTTGTAAAAAACCCACTTAATCTTTCAGCATACTTTACTGTAATCTTTGTATTGCTGATCATGATACTAAAACACGGTCCCTAGGATTTACAACGCCGGTCTCACAATTTTAGCATATGCCACACCTGGCTGGGCCTCGTATACCCTACAAAACTGCAACAAATTGGAACCTATACAGCACAAAAATACAAGATGGGTCACAAAAACTACATTATGCCCATTCTGAAAATACTCTCACAGAACTTTAGGTTACTAATACTGGCCCCACTCCATACTCAGTCTCATGTGCATAATACTAAACTCATAAACTTCTACAATAATTATGGCGGCCGTATTTAAATTGATATTCTATCTTGCTTGAAGAAATCATCTCATTGTACTCGATCCTCTGCCTCTGACCATTGGTTCTGCCATGTCTCATCATCCGAGGCCCCATTCAAATTTGGTTTTTCTTTATTTAAGTTATCCCTTACTGAATCTCTTTTGCACCATCTATATCAAACTGCGAGAGTGAAACTTTCTGTGCTGCTATTTCGCAGTGTTGACCTACCATCTGATCGACGCTAAACTGCATCTTTAGGATAATCCCATGGATTGAAGAGTTCTCATTATGAGATTACGAGATAAGGCAACTTTCTTTGTACTACCACTTTTACGTAGGGCAAATATGGATACACACACTACATTGTCATTGGACATAGGAATGGCATGGAGGGAAACCAAGTAGAGCAGCCACGGTGAGTTACTGCCTTTGATGTTGTCCAATTTTAAAGTTTAGCCAAGGCAAGTATAAAGCCTGGCAACCACATCACTAGCCCGACCAGGCTGTGCGACCGATTGTCTATACCGATTGTCTTCTAACCATAGCAAGACCATTTCTTGGAGCTACCACATCACTCACTATCGTGCCGGGGTAACGTAAATCTTCACGACCACAGGCACTTGAAGCGTTTCAAGAAAATATAATGCTAACTAAATACGAAATTTATTTACTACCAAATTCTTAATGTTTCTATACTCTCTTTCACCTATTATTGCCGATAGTTTCCTGTAAATATTCCGTCCAAATCCTATGTCCAACAAAAACTGACTGCCGCCATTCCTCAAGCAGCTGCAGTGTGCACACTG